AGCAACATTCTGATCTCAACTTGTACTGTCACCCCAAAGTTTTTCCTCCAGTTTTTATTTTGAAAATCTTCAAACCTACAGGAAAGTTGAAAAAGTATTGCAACAAGCACCCACTCATCCTTCATCTAGATTCAATTATTTGTTCACATTATTTTCTATATCAGTTTTCTCTATAGATATATATGCCATTTGCCCTCCCGGTACCATATGAGAGTAAGTTGCAGACATTAATGACATTTTACCCCTAAATACTTTTTATTCTTTTTTTTTAATTGATTTTTTAGAGAGAGAAACATCGATCAGCTGCCCCCTGCATAACCCCCTGGAGATTGAGCCCACAACCAGGCATGTGCCCTGACTGGGAATTGAACTGAGACCTCTCAGTCCATGGGACGATGCTCAATCCACTGAGCCACACCGGCTGGGCAACTTTTTATTTTTACTACAAGAAATTTAACATTGAAAAAATTAACATTATCTAATATTCAAATTTGCCCCGTTGTCTCTAAATAATATCTCTTATAGCTTTAAAAAAAAAAATCTAAGATTCTGTCTTGGTAGCACATTGCATTTGGTTGTCATTTCTTTAGTCTCTTGCAACCAGAACAGCCCTTGTCTTTTTTTTTTACATTGACATTTTAAAAAATCCAACTTTAAAAAATTGACATTAACAATTTTAAAGAATTATTTTAGAATATCCAACAATCTGAATTCATGTGACTGTTTTTTCATGATTATAGATTATATTCAGGTTAAAGATATTTTGGCAAGAATAACATAGTTAAGTGTTTTGCGCTTCTCATCACGTCACCCTGGGAGGCACATGATGTTAGTTTGTTCCATTATTGGTGGTACTAAATTTGATCATGTGGTTCAGTAGTGCTCACTTTGGTGGCATTATATGGATGAACCATCCCCGTATTAGTTACTAAATTGATGGTTTCAGATTCTTGCATTTCTTTTTTTTTAATTTTTTTTTTTATTGATTTTCTAGAGAGAGAAGAAGGGAGAGAGAGACAGAAGGATTGATGTGAGAGAGAAACATCGATCATCTGCCTCCCGCACACCCCCTACTAGGGATTGAGCCCATAATCCGGGCATGTGCCCTGACTGGAATCGAACCGGGACCTCTCAGTCCATGGGATGGCGCTCAATCCACTAAGCCACACTGGCCAGGCCCCAGGTCCTTACATTTCTAACTGAATTAATCATATCTTCTCCTAGTGAAATGGGGTATGTTTGTGTTCAGTAAATACCCGTTGAGTTGATTCTTTATTGGTTGCCCAATTTAAGAAACTGGTAAGCATTTCTGGGACAGTCATTTTCTTACTAGTTGCATCCTTAGTTGTGTACTGCAGCCACCTAGCTGTGCTTTGTTTATTTTTGTTAATGGTTATTTTTGCTTTCTGCCCTTAGTGTGGATGATTTGGCTCTGAGTATATATCCACCTATGTGCTATCTGACTGTGCGAATCAATGTAAGTACCTACATTGATAAAACCTGATTGGTAGAATTTCACCAATCACTAGTATTTTCTTTAAGCTATAGGAAATGTATTTGTTATACTTGGATGTAAGTACAGTAGTAATATATTTTTTACATGTGTTTGTGCTTAATAAATATTTGCTGAATTATAATAGCCATGAGCTCTGGTGGTACTTTTTTCCATAACCACCTGGATAATCGTTTAGAACAGTGGTTCTCAACCTTCCTAATGCCGCGACCCTTTAATATAGTTCCTAATGTTGTATGTGGGTGTATCTGCATGTGAGCGGACCCGCCTGGAGACGGATAGAGGAGTGGTGTCTCGGTTCCTAAGACCATCAGAAATATGTGTTTTCCGATGGTCTTAGGCGACCCCTGTGAAACGGTCGTTCAACCCCGAAAGGGGTCGTGACCCAGTTGAGAACTGCTGATTTAGAAAAACCCGAAGACCTTGGAAAAGGCTTCTTTGAAAAGAAAGTCATAAAAGTGCTTTCGGATCTTCTCAACCTGAAGTCTAATTTCTGTTTCTAATTTCTACTATAGGCAGAAATAAGTGTTCTAGAAAAGAACTCTGTTTTAATATAAACACATTATGTGATTTTTACCGTGGAGGGTTAAATATTGTATTCTTTCAAGTTCTGGGTTCTGTGCTAGAGAGAGTTCTATTACATTATTTTTATAAACTCAAGTTCTTATCTCTAATGTTACTGGGAAGAGAAGTAAAACTGCCAAATGACTTATATCTTATAATCAGATAGATCAGTCCTAATAATATTTGATAAATTAGTGGAAATTAGATTCATCAAATGTATCTTCACAATGTACAAACACTTTGAAGGAGAATAGGATCCTTTTGGGCATTAATTTTTTAAATTTGTATTAACTTTTTTAAAACTGCCTTCCTAAGAAATAAACATTTAAAAAAATTTTTTTTTCCCTTTATTGATTTTAGAGAGAGAGGAAGTGAGAGGGAGAGAGAGATAGAAACGTCAATGGGAGAGAACATCGACTGGCCGCCTTCTGCATGCCCCTCACCAGGGACTGGGCCCACAACCTGGGTATGTGCCCTGACCAGGAATCGAACCGATGACCTCTCGGTGCATGGGTTGATGCTCAACCACTGAGCCACACCAGCCAGACAGAAATAAACATGTTTAACAATATGCCTTCACAATTACCCGGAATAAAAATATAAACTATGTACTATATATTGGTGGCATATATACATTCTCATGTTATCTTGTCATCGGTATTCTTAAAATTCTGTACATAGATTTTTAAAACATTAGTTGTTTTTGTTATATGTTCTAAACTATCAGACATTGGAACAAATTCAGGTTATATTCTTCCTTTTGCTGGTTTTATAATTTAAAATATTTTAAAATTAAAAAGAAACTTATAAAAGTGTTACAGCAACAGAATTAATAGATTTTGCTAAATAGAAAATAATCCAAAATCAGGCTGAGCCCTTATCATAAAAATAAAATTTCTCTGTTTCTTTTCTAGGCTGCGAAACTTGTGTCTGTTCTAAAGAAGGCACTTGAAATTACAAAGTGAGTGTGAGGACCTCTCCCCAAATAGATTTTTGAGAATAAACCTTTCCAGCCATTCTCAGCTTCCAAACCCCCATGTCAAGGAGTGGTTGTGGAATTTTCTTTCAGCTTCAGTTGCAGAGTAGCTGAGTTTTTGCAGAGAAACTTGCCTTTTCTTAATATAGTTTCCTCTGTGCTTCCTGTTGAAGATAGGTTTTCCCTTGACAATATAATAAATGTCATTTTTCTTTTTTCCATTCCATTCACAGAGCAAGTCATGTGACCCCACAGCCAGAACATAGTTGGATCTCTTTACTCATTAATGCCATTGATCATTGCATGAACAGAATCAAGGAACTCACTCAGAATGAACTTGAATTGTGAGTTTTCAGGCCCATTTGTCCTATCCTCTCTCCTTTTCTTACTGTCACAGCCAGGCTGTGACATCTGCTTTTAAAATGAGGCTAGAATGCTTTCTGGTTTGAAAGGGAGTTTCTGTCTATACTTATCAAGAGACCCCATTACCAAAGATTGTTGGTTAGGCCAGACTGGCAATTATTTATAAAACACATGAGTATGATTTATTTTTCTGTGTTAGGTACAAAAGATAATGGCATGAGTTTGTGTTTCTGAGGGAAACTGCCTTATTCCCTATTTGCAATAAAGTGTGTTGTTTCATTCTTAAAGATGTTGTCAGTCTCAATAAAATGCTAACCTGCCAGTGGTTAAATGAGTACCCTTCCAAAGTTTCTTTCTACCAGAAGTACAGGTTGGGACTAAAACATTGCTTTCCTCTGGGCTTATACGTCTGAAGATCTGATTCTGATCAGAAGTATACTTAGAATAAAAACTTGACTTTAAAGATTACTCCAAAGCCCCTTTTGGTACTTGAGCATGTTATATAATACCATTGTTCTTCTTTTTTTAATCCTGACCTGAGGATGTTTCTCCATTTATCTTCATATAGAATGGGAGAGGGAGTGAGGGAGAGAAAGAGAAAGGGAAACATCAATGTGAAAGAGACACATCAACTGGTTGCCTCCTGCACAACCCCGACCAGGGCCAGGGACTGAACCACAACTGAGGTACATACCCTTGACCGGAATCAAACCGATGATTCTTTGGTCTGCAGGACAACGCTCTAACCTCTGAGCCAAAACAGCCAGGGCAATATCATTATTCTTAAGTCCTTCTGAATATTATTCCAGGTCACTCCATGCTTCTAATATTATTTTGTGGTATTGAGCTTATTTGTTAGGTTTGTTCATTTTATTGAACCAGATTTGTTTTTCTTATACATGCCTGTATTGTTTTCTGTTATATATTATGTGTCCCTGTATATAAATACAAAATTTAAAAAATTCTTTTAATTGATATTTTAGAGAAAGAAAGAAACATCCATTAGTTACCTCCCACATGTGCCCTGACCAGGAATCGAACCCACCAGCTTTTGGTGTACGGGACAATGCTCCAACTAATCAAGCCACACCAGCCAGGGCTAAATAAAAATTTTTATAAACCAAAATTTTTTTAAGTATATAAGAGCTTATATAGTTTTAAGAGTCTCTTCAGTTAATCCTTTTGCAAAACCATCACCATTTAATTATAATTTTGCACCAGTCTGGAAGATGATTTATTGGTAACAAGGAAAACCTGTAGTAATGCTTATTCTGGTGACTTGACTTGGGCCTTATGTATGCACTGCAGGTCTCCACAACCTCTAATGCCAGTTCTTTTCCTTGTGTAGTTGTAATTCATCACATCTACCCTTCTGATGTCCCCATGGTCTCTTTAGGTATCAACAGCAACAGCATCCATTCTTTTGAGCAGCTAGGGAGTTCTTGGGGTTGAAATTCCTAAGTCAAGAGTTTTACCTTTATAAAGTGCCATTCTGTATTTTTAACAAACGTCATAAAGAAAAATAACTAAATTCAAACTGAGAAAGTGCCAAAGAAACAAAATAATGTAAACAAAAATTATAACTTTGTACAAAAGGAGTCCAGTTGTTTATTCTTTCTTATAGGGCCTATTTTCTATATACTAAATTATTTTCAAATTTCTCTACTACACAAAATTCATGTTATTAACATCAGACTTTAATTGTGAGCTACTTAATGAATATAGAACGCTCATAAAACTTACCTATAGCTGAATCTAGAAGATCATTCTACTCTCAGGTCTTATGTTCTGTATTTTATAACTTTGTTCAGTCATCTTTGAGACTTTAAGGATAATGGTCAAGGATAGCACCAATCACTGTAATTTTAGGAGTACCTAAAAATTTAATTTTTAGCTAATATTGTCCCACTTCATCAGAAATATAAGAATTATTCAAATGCTAGATTCTTTTCTTCACTCATATGGTAATGAATGTGTTAGTGAGCACTAAAGTTGTTATGAAGACCCTGAACCAGAAAAATCTGAATGTACTTATCTGAATACCTTTTTAAAGGTTTCCTTTTATCACTCAAGTCCAGTAGTTTCTAAGGCAACTAGTATTCATGGCTGCCTTAAACTGGAGTGATGGAAATGAATGTCTTTTCTGTTGATTTCTGGGAATCTAGTTTTATTCTTGGTCACACTTCTAGTTTTATTCTTGGTCACACTTCTGGAGATTCATTTGTCTGATAAGCAAAGTTTCCCTTCCAGCATGTTTGGTTTTAGATCATAGACACAAGGGGGGGGTGGTTGGGGCAAGTGATGCTGGAGCTGATATTTTAAGCTGCAAGTTCAGGAGCTACCACAGTAACACTTCTGTGGTTGGTTAGGTTCTGGAACATGTTGCAGTCCATTTCCACAGTGAGCCTCTGGAGCCCCACCTTTGTCGGCGTGAAACAGAATTGGGTGCACAAAGTATTTCCAGGTTGCACAGGACCTAACCTGAAATAAAGGAAAAGGCAGGTGCAAGTTCTATCCCAGGTTAATTGCTTTGCTAGTCTCAGTGACTGATCCCTTCCTACTTGAAGAGGGGGAGCATGATGAAATAAACATCTAAGTACCTTGCTGTTGAAACAGGAGGTTTTAAGGGAATAGAAGACAGGAGCCTCTATGGTGAGAAATATCATGGTTGACAAGCGAAATGTTATTATAAGGGCTTCTAAGCTACATCTGTTGTTTCTTTTATCACCCGTAACTTCAGTCTAGTTCCAGTTTTGGTAACAGTATTAGGGTATGTTTGGAAAAGCTATAGCTTTGGAACCCTCACACTGCTAAATGTAGTAGGTATGGTGGGTATATTGAGAAGATGTCAGTATGTCAACAGGTGGTGTTTGGAGCCCTATCAGAAGCCTCCTGGTCTGCCTGTGGCCCTTCTTATGGTGACTGAGGGAATGGTACAGATTTCCTTTGAGGAACTTTGCCCCACAATTGATCTGGAAGGCCACAAAAGACTGGTTAAATGTTGCAGTCCTTCTTCTAAACTTATTGGCAAATGACTCATTGAGTTTCCTGAGGCTGAGGCAGTGGCTCAATACCAGACAACCTGTCAGGGACCTCATAGACAGTACAAGTAATTATCATGAACTCTAAACTGTATGCTGTATATTCAATGAAGGATGCAGTGGGCATAATGAGAGGAGAGATGATGACAGAAGATACTTGCAACATTTGAAACTAACAAAGGACTAATAACTAGACTATACAGAAAACTCCTACAAATCAACAGGAAATAAAGCAGGGACACCAAAAGAAAAGTGGTGAAAGAACTTTACAGAGGAGGAAATGGAAAAGCCTAATAAGCATGAAGAGTTAAATTAAAATAATAATGAGATATTACCTTTACATTACACTGGAGAAAAGAGAAAGTTGGGTATTGCCAAGAGTGAAGGAATAGTAGGAATAAAGAAACTCATGGACTGCTGTAGGGAGTGAGGCTCCTGCAGCCATTCTGCAAACAAATCTGATAGTACCTGGTCAAACCAGGTCACATCCTATGACTCAGCAACTCCATTCCTGGGCATATATATCCTTTCCTCCCCCACCAACATCATTTATATAACTTAAAAATACAGGCTCATTCCCTGGCCAGGTGGCTCAGTTGGTTGGAGCATCATTCCATTTGCTGAAGGGTCACGGGTTTGATTCCATCAGGGCACACACCCAGATGGCCGATTGGATCCCCGGTCCGTGCCTGTGCACGAGGCAACGGATCAATGTCTCTCTCACATCAATGTTTCTCTCTCCCCCTCTCCCTTCCTCTCTCTCTAAAATAAATTTTAAAAAAGGCTCATGGCCCTGGCCGATTTGGCTCAGTGGTTAGAGCGTCGGCCTGCGGTCCAGAGAGACCTGGGTTCAGTTCCCACTAAGGGCATGTACTTCGGTTGTAGTTTGTCCCCAGCCCTGGTTGGGTCGTGTGGGTGACAGCCACTCGATGTGTCCCTTTCACGTTGATGTTTCTCTCTCTCTTCCTCTCTCTCCCTCCCATTCTATCTGAACAAAAAATGGAAAAATGTCCTCGGGTAAGGATTAAAAAAAAAAAGGCTCATGAAGCAAGAGTGCACATTTTACACATACTAACAAAAGGATATGAAGGATGGTGGGAATGGGAGTAGGAAAAAGAAATGAGAATATTTAAAATTCAATATTGTGGTGGGCCTTAATAGAATGCAGCTTTCAAGAGGCAACCTACCCTCTCTGTGATATTTTTTAGGGCCTAGCCCTAACCATCTCACCCGCAGTCACCAGCAGTATTGAGTCTCTTCCTGCATGATCAGAGCAGCAACCAGGGTTAGATGGGTGCCTAAGGAGCCCACAGCCTCCCTCACTCCTGTCCCCCTGTACACATGGTGGCCCTGGGATAAAACAGGCCCTAATCCCTTCTACTTCAGGGCCCATTTGCTCTGTCTCCATGGACAGCAAAAAGTCTTATTAACCTTGGGTCCCAGCCTTTCTGACCAGCTGAAATGTGTCTGTGGGATGAGAAGCATGTGGTCTCTTACCTATAGTTCCTCTCTCTGTAAATGAGCCCTCTTCCAAAGATAGAGATCATACAGTCCTTCATGGGAGCATCTAGGGAGTTGTGGATGCGGACTGAGGCCGTGAGGGGTCTATACTGCTCTGCTTCCTGTGGCATCTGTGGAAAGAGACACAGTCACTCCCTTCCCTCCTAGCACCCTCCTTGCACCCTCCTCATTACTCTCCTGTTTCTGCCATCCTAACCTAAACCCCACAGCTGACTTCTTTACTACCCGGTCTTCCTGCATTCACTTTCACCCTTGATCCATCAAAGATTGTCTGTGATGGTGCCTCTCCTCCACTTAGAGACTATGGAGGGTTTCCCACTGTCTTTGGAATACAGCTTCCGTTGGCATTCAGAGCCCTTCAGTGATCTGATCCCAACCCACTTCTTCAAGCTCATTTGTTCTTCCCTTGACTAAACAACATCTAAGCCACGTCGGGTACTTTCCCATCCCCAGCATACCCCTCAGGCTCCCTTCCCTTGAATCCCTTCTGCCTGCAATGGTTTCCTTCCACCTCCGCATTAGAAGTTTACCCATTTTTAAAGGCCCAGTATAAATGCCACCTCCATGAAGTCTTCCTTAAGCTAATCAGAGAGAATTAATCCCCTTTATGTCACTTATCCCACGGTGACTTTGTGGCTCCAGTAAAGCACTTAAATAGGAAACCAAACATTGTGTCTCCCTTATCCAGCTATAACCTCATTGACGGCACGGACCATATTGCATTCATTTTGGCCAGGGTAGACATGGAAAGATGACCAAACAAGAGCCATAAGTCTCCAAAATGTCCTATTTTTATGATCTTAGACATGTTGCTCTCTAGGACAGTTTCCTCATCTGAACAATGGGAACAGTTCCACCTCACAAGGCTTTTGAATGAAAAGAAATGAGGCAAAAATGCATTTGCCTATGTATAAAGTGCTAAATAAGCATAGGCTATTATTATCCCTACAAGTATGGAGGCAGCAACTGGGAAGAACCAACTTGAGAAACTTTTACTTAACTACCTAAAGAAGATGGAAGATTTAAACCTAAATAGCATATTTAAGAAACCATCTTTCAAGACCAGGAGCTCTCAACATAGCATTTTCTGGTAATCCTGCAGCACAGTTGCCTGCACTGAAGTGGGATGGCCTCAGATTCTTTCTGAAATGGGGACCTGAGTAGTAGCAAACAAGAACAATTTGGGAAAAGACTGGTGCCTACCTCAATGGCAAGGTGTGGTCTACCAATGGCAATGTCTTCCTGAGCAAAGCAGCTGAGGCTGGACTCTGAGTGTGTTGCCACCGCAGTAAGTCTGAGGAAGCTGTTCTCGGGTGGGCGTCGCTCAAAATAGGAGGAGGACAGGCTGGTGGTGATTCTCTTAACTGAGACATGTGACAGGAGGAGTCAGTGCAAAGGTGTGTGTGCCCCGCAAATAAGCAATAGTTACACACACAGTGCAAAGGAGACAGGATCGCACTGAAGCCAGAAAGATGCCTCATTCCTCACAGCAATTTCAAATTTGAACTCACTCAAGAACCCATCCTCACCACCATCACCACCCTTACTAACAGTCTTGGCCGACCACCTCAGTGGGCTTGTGGAGCAGTCCCTGTGAACTAGAACAAGCTAAGCTCTCTTGGCCTCAGTTTTCTTGTCTAATAACACCTGCCTGGTGGGATGGCTTGTGTTAAATGAGATATTACAAAGGAAGTGCTTATCTCAGACCCTGCCACACAGTGTTGCTGAATATATGCTGACTTAGTTCCTTCCCATTTTCTGCTCCTTCTCTTTCCCTTTTTGCAGAGAAAATAAAGCCATCCTTCATCCTCAAGCTCATGTTCCCTTTCCCAACCTAAAGACATAGACATCTCCCCCCACTGTCACTGCTCCCCCAGGAGGATGAGGTGTCCCCCCTGCTCAAGTCAAGTCTGCTTTCAAAATCTGTGCTCCAGCCAGGCTCAGTGGATTGGGCGTTGTCCCATGGACAGAGGTCCTGATTCTACCAGTCAGGGCACATGCCCGGGTTGTGGGCTCGATCCCCTGTGGGGGTGTGCAGGAGGCAGCCTTTGGATGTTTCTATCACTCTCTCCTTTCCCCTCCCTCTTAAAAAAAATATGTTAAAATCTGTGCTCCATCCTGACCCTATCAGTGCCTTGCTATGTAAATTTGGGTAAATTATTTAACCTCTCCATCTTGGTCTCCTCAGCTATAAAGTGGGGATAATAATGGTTCCTGCCTCATAAAGTTGTTGTGAGGATAAATATGACAATGTACATAGAACACTTAATACCATGTTTGCTACAAATCAGTGCCCAATAAATGTGAACTATAATTATTTTTGTTGCCTCTCATTTCCCCAAGGGTTGTTGCACCATCAGTAAAACCCATCTCTCGCTGGGTAGAGGTGGGCAAAGAGGTAAGGGGTGGGGGACATCTGCAATAGTGTCAACAATGAAAAATTTAAATTAAAAAACAATAAATAAAAATCATCTCTCCTGAGGCTTCAATCTTTTCTTCTCTGCTGATTATTTTCCTCAGCATGTGACCGGATTTTACTTTCTCTTCTCTTAAAAGAAAACAAAACAAACAACCTCCCTCTACCCAATATCTCTGGCTGATTACCACCTAGCCTCTCTTCTTTAATTTTTTTTTCTTTATTGATTTTAGAGAGAGAGATAGAAACATCGATGAGAGAGAACATCAATTGGCTGCCTCCTGAATGCCCACCACGGGATTTGGCCCATAACCTGGGCATGTGTCCTGACTGGGAATTAAACCAGTGACCTCTTGGTGCATGGGTCAATGCGCAACCACTGAGCCACACTGGCCAGGCCTTTTTTTTTTTTTTTCTCTCTCACCCAAGGAGCAGAGAGGTTTTTAGAGATGTAGGAAGGGAAAGAGAGAAACACTGACAGTTGCCTCACATACACACCCCAACTGGGGATCAAACCTGCAACCCAGGTATGTGCCCTGTCTGGGAATCAAACCTGCAGACTTTTGGTACATGGGATGAAGCTCCAACCAACCGAGCCATCCGGCCAGGGCCAGCCTCTCTCCTTTTTTTGTGTGTTATGTGCCCCTAGTGGGAACTGAACCAGGACTCTCTGGTCCACAGGCCGACACTCAACTGCTGAGCCAAACTGGCCAGGGCCAGTCTCTCTTTATCCATTCATTCTCCCATAAAAGACTGCACACCTTGTCTCACCTCTTCAACTCTCAATCCATTTAGCCCCCGGGAAGCTGGCATTTGCCATCACTTTGGAGTAAGACCATTCTGTCCATGGACACTTTTTAGCCTTGACATCTCATGGCCTCTCTGCTGCCCTTGCTTGGTGCCCTCTTCCTCTCTTTGACTTCCCCATCTCCTTTAGTCTGTGCTCTTTCCCTAACTGCCCCCTACAAGCTGTTGTTGCCTATGTTCCCTTCTCATCCTCTCTTCTTCTCACAGTAGTCCTTGCCCCCTTGAGCTCATTTATGTCATAACTGTTGGCCACCTTCTTTCTGCTGGGATTCCACATCTGGTCTCCAACCCAGGCCTTCATCTTGAATACCAGGTTTAGGTTTCCAGCTGCCTACTGGCCATCTCATGGGCTTTCAAACCCAACATACCACAAAAAGAACTCATCATCTTTTACCCCAATCCTTCTCTTCCCCATTTTCCCTATTCTAGAGGCTCACCCAACCTGAAGCCCTCCTCTGCCACATACATAGACATGTTCACAAGTTCAATCTATAACCTCCTTAAAATATCTTCATTTGAAGTGCTGAGACTTTAGCGTGTCCTTCATTTCTTGATTATTACAAAACCTTCCAACCTCTACTCTAGTGGTTGTCAACATTGGACGCACATTAGAATCTTATGGGGAGTTGCCCTGGCCAGTTTGGCTCAGCGGTTAGAGTGTTGGCCCAGGGACCGAAGAGTCGCGGGTTTGATTCCAGTCAAGGACATGTACCTCGGTTACAGTTCGGTCCCCGGTCCTCAGTTGGGGTTGTACGGGAGGCAACCAATGGATGTGTCTCCCATCAATGTCTCTCTCTCTCTCTCTCTCTCTCTCTCTCTCTCTCTCTCTCTCTCTCCACTCTATCTGAAGATAAATGGGAAAGTATCCTCGGGTGAGGATTTAAAATAAAAAGAATCATATGGGGAGTTTTATAAAACAATTCCAGTGCCAGGCCACACCTCAAATCAGTTATATCAGACTTGGGTGGTGAGGCCCAGGTATTAGTATTTTTAAAGTTCCCCAGGTGCAGCCAAGGTTGAGAACCACCACTCCAACATGACCATTTTCATTCCATTCTCCCAAAAGTTCTTTTTTTAAAAATGAATTTTTTTTTTTAATCCTCACCCAAGGACATTTTTTCATTTTTTGTTCAGATAGAGTGGGAGGGAGAGAGAGAGAGAGAGAGACATCGACGTGAAAGGTACACATCCGAGTGGCTGCCACCTGCATGACCCAACCAGAGCCGGGGACAAACTGCAACCAAGATACGTGCCTTTAACGGGAACTGAACTCGGGTCTTTCTGGACTACAGGCCGACGCTCTAACCGCTGAGCCAAACCGGCCAGGGCTTAAAAATGAATTTCTGATAATACAGACTTCGTGGTTAACAACTTTCACCAGCTCTCCTTTGCCTAGAAAACAAAACTCAAAGGGCTTAGCATGACCTACAAGCTCTGGCTTAATCTTGTTTGGCTCTCACACCACTCCCTGCACTGCTCCCTCCTGCCCCTCCTGAGAAAGGGAACATGGTGGAGAGACTGGAGGGCAGGGTGGTGATTAAGAAGCTGTTGGCAATGATGTAGACCATCTCTATTCTGTGGATTCTGTCTTGCCTGCACATTGAAATCGCCCAAGGCATTACAATTTTTTTTTTATGTTTGGCTCCAACCATGGAATTTCTGATTTAAATAGTCTGGGGTGCAGGCCGAGCATCAAATTTCCCAGGTGATTCTCATTGCAGGAAAGATTGAGAACAACTGCTCTTGTACAGGAAATATCAACCCTAGAATAACATAGGGAGGTTTTTTTTTTTTAAATACCAATGCCTGGACCCCATCCCAGACCAATTAAATAATCTCTGGGAGGAAGAACCTGTGCACATATTCCTTCTGCCTGGAATGCCCGTGACTCACTTTTCTGTCCGGCACAGTTCAGCTCATCCTTTTAAGACCCGGTACCATTCGATTTACTTGGAGGCAGACTGCCCCAGCCTGGGTGCGGTGCTCCCCTGCCATTGATTCTATTTACCTTATCAAACACTTATTACATGCTGCTATGGTCTGTTTACTTATATTACTGCAATCAGAATTGTGGGTGGTGGTGGTGGTGGTTTTTCTGTGTGAAGCACAATAAATATGTGTTGAGAGAGAGAACACCAGGAGCTAGAAGCCACTTATTGAGACCTGCAGGGTGAGCCTTATAGCTGCAGTCTGCCCAGGGTAGGAACTGAATGTCTGGGCATTTGGCAGAGCCATAGAGTTACCAAGGTTGGCACTGAGAGTAAGGAACAGCTTCTTCCTCCAGAGCTCAGCAGCAAGGATGCCATTGTAGTACACCGCCTGCACCCCAATTGCCAGCTGCACAGCCTTCTCCTGGTCACCGGGGTTAATCAGGGTCACGGAGAGCTGGGCATCCCCTCCCAGGGGCAGGGAGCTGGGTGCTTCCAAGAACAGGTACAGAGGATCAGCAATCTCAAGACTGGGAGGACAGATGCCATTATCTTCCCCATGTTCCAGTTTCTTTTTCTGGACTCTCTCCATCACCTCTTTTTCTTCAAGAGATCCTGAAGAACAGAAGAAACAAAGCTGGCCTCTTACCCAGCAGGTATGGGCCCATCTAATAAAAGCCCAGGATTAAGATTCACTTACCCACTGCTGCTCAGATGCCAAAGTTACAAGAACTTTGCAAACCTCTAAGCCGCAGTGGTTCTCAACCTTCCTAATGCCGCGGCCCTTTAATACAGTTCATGTTGTGGTGACCCCCAACCATAACATTATTTCTGTTGCTACTTCATAACTGTAATTTTGCTACTGTTATGTCTTAGGCGACCCCTGTGAAAAGGTCGTTCGACCCCCAAAGGGGTCGTGACCCAGAGGTTGAGAACCGCTGCCTAAGGCCATATTTAGCGTGGAAAACTAGTCTGTGTTCAGTACATCCACCACAGACACAGTGTCCCTTCCAAGTCACGCGGGGACCAAGTTCTTTTTCCAGTGCTGTGAATTAGCCCCTGGAGCAGTTGGAAAAGCCAGCTTTTGGATGGGTCACACTGCTTCTGAGGATAGTATGGAAGTGAAGGAATTTAAACTTATTCTAAGGACAGTGGGGGCCATCAAATATTCTGGAGCAGGAGTGTAACATAATTATACTTGTGTCTTTAAAAGCTCATTCTGGAAACTGAAAGTTTGGAAAGGGAATAATGATGGAGGGACTGCAGGCAGGGGTCCAGTTAGGAGACCGTTGGGATACTGTGGACAAGATATGGGTTACCTATAGGCAATGGGAAAGGAGATGAGACAAATGTAATGGGAGGCGGTGAAGGGGGCAGAGAAGAGAATGCAGTCCTTGTTGTTGGAACAAATAGGTAGACAGCGGTGCCATTAACTAATATGGAGGGAGGGACAGGTTGGGAGGGATTGGCTCAGCAGGGGAGAGGGAGAAGAACTTTTGGCACCTGGACTTAGTATTAAGTGTGTTGTTGCCCCTTAGGAGACATTTGGAAATATCTGGAGAGATTTTGTCACAACTGGTGGTAGTGGTGGTGGAGGAGTGGGGAGAGGTCAGGGATGCTGCACAGCACCCCCACAACAGAGTTACCTGGCCCCAAATGTCAATAGTATCAAAGGGGGTTGAGAAACCATTTTATATGGTGGGGAAAGGACTGCAACTCTCTGGGGCCTACACCTGTCTAGGGCCGAGAAGCCTGTGCCCTCCCCTGCCCAGTACCTTCTGGATACTTGTAGTTCTGAGTGATGTCTTCACAGCGGTCACTGCCCACACCTTTGGTGCTGATGTTGTTGCCCACATACTTAGTGTTGGAGTTGGTCAGTGCCAGAGTCCCATCATCACAGCACTTCCAGACCACACATGAGGCGTTTACTGCGGCAAAAAGGTCTGCTACTGTAGGGGTCAGCCCCAGTGTCCCCTCCTTGACTGCTCTGACGGGGACCAGATCACAGGCCTTCAGGACTGAGGGAGAGAAAGGTCCATGAGCAGGAGGAGCCATGCCTAGACCTCTGCTTGGGTCTGAGCTCCATGGCCTCGGTTCCCATCCTAGACCCTATTTTCCCACCCCGGGGATCAAGGTCAGAGGAGGGTACTAAGCAGGGTTTCTAAGAGGGCATTCAGAGGTGAATCTCACAACATTTAGTGACAGTAATTTTGGCAATAGCCTGTGGCAGGCGCCCTCTCGGAAACTGGACAGGTAGAACCTCAGAGAAACATAGTACACAGGGGTTCCTAAGCCAGCTTGGTTATGGATGTGATAGGAATAGGTCATCTTTATGGAGCACTTACATATGTCAGGTTCTGTGCTTGTTCTGTTCCTGGGTAAGGAAGAACCATCCTTTATGGATCATGAAGATTCTTTCTCTGAGCTTTAACCTATCTTGATATCCTCTTCATCCACATTCAGAATCTCAGAAGTCCCACGTTACAAGCCTCTGACCCGACACATCTACCAGCTCTCTTGAGACCCTCTGCCTTTCACTGAGGCTCAGCTCTCTTGCTCTGAGGTGGGGCTAGTCTCCCACAGCCTTGGCCTGAGATGGCTGACACCTTTGTCCCTTGAGCCACTGGCATCAGCTCAGCATTCTGCCAGCCAGTATCACTCTTTCTGCTTTTCCTGCCTGAGGGAATGCGGATCCCCTCTGCACCACATGCTGCTCCTGTTTCCTCTCCTTCAGCCAGGCAGCTCCCTCTCTGCAGGCCAGGTGGTCCTGAGCCACCCCTAGGATTTACCTTCACTTCCCTTAGGAGCCTTTGGGTGCAGAATCTGCCATCCGCCATAACCCTGGGGCAAATCAGGCCGGGTCATCCAGCACTCTGTTGAGGTCTGGAAGATCCTGAAGGTAGCAAAAGAACAATTCAGGTGTTAAAAGAAAAAGGAATCCTTAAGAGGTTCTAGAAATAGCAGTTGTGGCCATGGGGATGGGAGGGTGCTGTGTAAAAGTGGCTGTAAAATTCCCCAGAAGGGGCAAGCATGCCACCACTGACCATTAGTATCCTGCCTCCAAGGGTCTGGAAGGCCTCCTGTTGGTGCCAGGGCCACTCAGGGTGGTGAGTTCCCATAGCACCCGCAGTGGGAGCCCTTCCAGTCCGAGACTTCATCCCCTTTGGGCTTCTCACCAGATTCTGCCTCTCTGGCCTTCTCCATTCTGAAGCCCCTCCTCGTTGTAGTACTCATCCACAAGCAGGCCCCCTCCAGTGCCCTGGGCTGAGGCGAACGTGGTGACCACGCGGGCAGGGATTCCCAGACAGCGCAGCACTGCATAGAAGGGGCAGAGTCAGAGGGTGCCAGAGCCAGAGAGGCCTGGGGTGGGGCGTGGGGACGGCTAGTGTTTGCAGTGTCTCCTCTGGGCAAGCATGTCTTAAATGCCAGGTGACACCATGGAAAGAGGAGGGGCACAGGCATGGGGAAATTAAACCTGACACCCAGCACAGGACCTCTATAGGCCAGGTCACAGCCGGCAGAGCAGACAGCACGGGGAGGCTGGCAGAGCACTGGGGCTGCTCTGCTGGGGGAAGGCCGGGGAAGCTTCAGGGTGAAAGAGTTTGGGAGCAGAGTTTGCCAGATAGGCCTGACTTTGCTAAGGGGGAGAAGGAGCAGACGCTGGTCAGGAGGAGTTGCCCTGAACAAATGGCTTGTTTCTTGGCCAGATGGTTCATCTGAGCCAGTTATGGGTGTGAAGAAGGTGTGGAAATGTTGTGGAGTGGAGTCAGTATCTGCTTTTGGAAATGTCCCTCCCACATGGACCACAGGGCAAGCCAACAGTAGCCAAGGTCAGCCTGCTCTGTACCTGTGCAAGCAACAGCGGCCAGTGTCCAGGCCTGACCGTCATACACGGGTCGCCCTTGGCCTGTGAGCCACTGCCGCAGGATGGGCACACTGCCCCGGAGCTTGTTCAGCAAGGCCTCTTCCTGGGCAGACTGGGTCTGCGGGGTGGGCAAGACACTCTTCTCCTTGAGAGCGTGCAGCTGTTTGGGGAGACGTGTGAATGTCATGTGAGTCCTCAGGGTGAGGTGGTGGCGAGGGGGTGAGAGGGTAAAGTGGGGGCAGGGGTGAGAAAGGCTCATGCAGTTCTCCAAGTGTGGTGGACAGACTGTCTGCATCAGTCTATGTTAAATCTGCATATTCTGGGGCTCCACCCTAGCTCACTGGGTTATAATCTCGGGGGGTCTGGGGACAGCCCAGGAACCCACCTTTTTCACAAATCCTTTAAAGGCCAGGGATTTGTGGACCACAGTGGCAAAGAAAGCCACAGAGAAGCGGGAGAGAGGCCCTCACCGGGGCTGGGTCCCCTGCTCCTTCACTTGCCTAGTCCTGATTTCTTTGAGGGTATATGCACCTGGGGTCTCGAGGCCCACTTATCCTACACTTCCTTCTCCTCACAGGCTGGCTCTGTCCCTCACCACCTCTTCAGCGGGGAGCCCAGTGGCACAAGAGGAAACGGGGAACACATCACTCCTGGGAAAGGACTTTTAGGAACAATGAGAAAGCACCACGCTACCTTCACGGTCTGCATATCCTTAGGACTGATTTAGAAATGAAAACAAGTCCCTTTGACCACCTTAGCTGCAAACACTGAGTAAGATGGACCCAAATTCCTCCCTTCCAGAGACCTAGGCCTCCAGGTTGGGCTGGGGGTTGGAGGCAGGGGATAGAGATGTGCTCTGAGGAGACCCAGGACACTTTTTGTCCTTTGTTGGCTTGTGTCCTGGAAGATGACACCTCCCTTTGCTTTTCTCTCCCCTGTGGATGCTGTTGTCCTCCCCTCCTCACCCGTGTCCTTCTCCAGGAACTATCGCCACACCCTGGGAAGAGGAGACCTTTTGTGTTTTGAAGATATCCAGGGCCACAGAGGGAGGACAGCTCTGTGAGAGGGCATCACTCACCAACACGCCCAAAACGAGGGCCACATGCACAGGGTCTCCCCACTCCTCCACCTGCTTGTCTGTGCCCAGCAAGTTCAGGCTGAGGTCCAAGACATCCCTCTCGAACTGCAAGGACCACACACAGAAGCAATGAAGGGTCTCCATCCCAGTTTAGCCCCATCACCTTGTCCTTCTCTTAGACTCAGTCTTCCCTCCTTCCTCCCTTGCCTTGTCCCCCGGTGCCCCCTGGTCCCTGTACCTGGCAGTCCAATTCTTTGCTTGTTCTGTTATCTGACTGTCCTGATAAGGTGTGGATCTGGAAGACTAGGGATGTTTTTCCTTTCCTTTCTATCTGTATCCACTTAGTGCATCCCTACTGCTCCTGCTGGCCCTGGCCACCATGTGGAGGATACCACGGCAGCTCCTGCTCTTGAAGAGCCCAGTTAGGAGTGGAGCAGAGCATGTAGCCACACAGACTACAGATCTCAGCAGTGTGGCCAGGGCTCCAGGAGAGATGGCAACCCAGAGCAGAGAGCACAGTAGAGAGATTCACTCTACCTTTGGGGCTGAGGAAGGCTTTCAGAGGGTCTTAAAAGATGGGTCGGAGCTTCCCAGGCGACAAAGAAGGGACACTATTCCAGGTGGAGGAAACATTCAGCCGGCATGTCCAGGGGCTGGCCAGGGGCCGGAGCGTGGGTGGCTCTCAGGGAAAGGAAAGCAGTGGCCAGGCTGTGAAGGGCCTGTGTGTCATGCCCTTGTGTTTTATTGTACAGGCAGCAGGGATTTAATAGCGGGGTTTAATTTGTGTGGTCTGTAAGAAGATAATGCTGGAAGCTGTGGAGCGTGGTCTGATGTGGCCCCGAGGAAAGAGACATACCACATGGCTGAAATTTTCTAAACATGATGCCTCAGGACCAGGGGCTTTTGGATCTGCCAGCTCTGTCTGGCCTGAACTCTGAAGGTTATGGGGCAATCACTGTCCCCTCACCTTCCCTGGAGGCCCCCATACCTGGCCAAAGTCCCAGGGCTCTTCCTGGATGCAGTCAGCTGTGCCCAGGTAGATGAGGCCGTTCTGGTTCAACAAGTACTCTGAGCGTTGAGCCTCGTTCTCCAGGAACACAGCATCCTCTGGTGAGAGGCGGGCAGGAATGAGGGACTTCTCTCCATATCCTGGCCTCTGCCCTCCCTGCCCAGGTCAGTGTCCCCTTTAGCTCTGGGCTTAATAAGGACTGGAGAAGAACTTTCTCTTCTCACTGCCCACTCTGGGACCTGGCCTCCTCTCTGGTGGAGAGAGGGGAAAAGAGGTCAGTTTCTGTGTGGCCAAGGTGGCCTTCATGGTCAGCCAGGCAGACAGGAATAAGCCAGCCTTAAAAAGCCTATTGCTTCCCAGAAGACATGTGTAGCCAGAGTGTTGCCAACCCAAGAGAATTTGCCAACAGCCCAGGGAGCTTCCCAGTGGGCCTGTTATGCCGCTATCACAAGTTCAATAAAAAACAAAACAAAAAAAAACTAGTGTTTCAGAAGAGCCAATATAACATAGGTTGATGGGTGAGCAGAAGGGAAGAGCAGCATTTGCTAAGACAGGGTCAGAGGGAGCGGTGGGCTGGTGAAGTGACAGCCAAAACACGGCTCTCCGCTCTGGGGGTGTCCAGGTGGGTCTAGGATCCCCACGGTCTCTTGCTGGAGCCTTTCCTGCTGTCTGCATCCAAGGGTTGGGCTGGGGAGGAAGTGGGGGCTTTGAAGAGTCCACTGCCCACTCTAGGAAGCTGGGAGTGGTGGTGGGGTCTGCTCTTCTTTCCAAGTGTCTTTCTCTGCACCTGGTGCTGGTGGTGGAGTGGGGGGTGGTTAGACTGGTTCATGGGGACCAGAAGGAGAAAAAGATTTTCAAACTATCCCCCCTGGCATCCATCTGGGATGAGAGTGCTCAAAGCAACAGAAGGATAAGATAATATAAATCAGGAAGCCCTGAAATACCCAGGGCCTAAAATCAGAGCTATACACCCAAGGAGCCCTTGACTTCTGCCCCTCTGTCCTGAGTACTTTCTATGAAGTCAACTGGACATCACTTCTTGGGAAGTCACTTCCAACTGACATGTTTGGCCCCCATGCTGCAGGGTTCTGAGAAGTACATTATCAGGACACAGGTGGCACCCTCCTCTTATTCTCTGCTTGGGTGCAACCCCCCTTTAAAAAGTTCCCTGCTTATGAATAGGGTTCTTTTGTTAGAATTTAGGAAAACCCCATCTCCAAGTATCTGAGACTGAGTCCCAGATAATCTTGGAAAGTCTCTTAGCCACCTCCCAGTGAGCAGAGAAAACAACTCACTCCTGCTCAGACAGACACCTACACACACGCGCGCACGCACACACACACACTGATATGGAGGCTGCCCCTGGACAGGTCCCTACAAGCCAAGCATGAATGAATATTAGTTCCCATCCATTGTTCCACTTGCCCACCCTGTGGAGTGGGAAAGAAAGCCTTGAACTGAGGATAGGCAGGGTCATCTGAAGGAGGGGGGATCAGAGAATCCCAACCTGGGCAAAAGAAGTGGAGACAGGAAGCCTACTGGGATTCAGGTGCCACATTAAAAGGGAGTCAGGAACTAGGGACCAGGGATGGGGCCGCAGGAACCTGGGGAGATTTTTTCTACTTCCCCACATTTCCTATCCCTGCCTTGTAAGGAGGCTCCCTTCAGGGAAAACAAAGTATTACGGTGGGCGGCGGCAGATTTAAATAGGAGAGATAGCAAACTCACTCTTGAGTTGGCCTGCATCCACTGGGACACATGCTTTTTGCTTCTTTCACAGCTGTGCCCATACCCTGGCCTCTTTCTTCTTTTCTTTTTTTGGTACGTGCCCCTAGCGGAAACCGAACCCAGGACTCTCTGGTCCGCAGGCCAATGTTCCAACCACTGGGCCAAACCAGCCAGGGCACTCTTTCTTGTTTTCTACCTGAATAAAACTTGCTTCATTCAAAAGAAATTTTTAAAAAAGGAAGGATAGACTCAAACATCAGAAGAAGAGATGCTCTTTTGGCTCCTGTTGAGGCTGAACGCATCTGATGATATTTCCTAGAAGAAATAGCCTCAATAGCCTGGGCTAGGCTTTGCCAGAGGTGGCCACTGGTTGAGCAGGAGGTCACCTGACCCCAGGCAGCTCACATGGGATATTTCCAAGCCTCAGTATGGAAAAGACCCTGCGGTCTACAGTAGTAAACACAGAACAAACAAGACAGATTTACCATGAAGCTGATGAAACGAAAGCATTGGGGTGCCTCACTAGCACAGACCCCTTCAGGCCCTGGGAGGGGCCTTGGCCATTCAAAATTTTGTATTTTTTTTATTAAGAGAATTCCCCAAATCATATCAACCTCAGGTTCTACAAAACCTGGATTCACCTGGAGATAGTCCATGAGAGTCCAGGGAGGAAACAGAGAAGGTTATTTCTTAGGTCACCTGCATTCTGGAAGCACTTTCTAGTTCTTGTCCCCTGTACTATTACAATAAAGGGAAGCTCTCCCAGGGTCATCTCTGACTCTTATCTCCTGTGACCAAATAACCTGAGCCAACACCAGGGTTTGGTGATGAGATAAGCCTTTGCTTTCAGTGGGAAGACCTAGGCTGCTTCTGCCAGGGTTGACACCAAGACAGGACCCTGGGTCTGAGAGATGATTCATCCAGGAAGCAGACACTGCAAGAACGAGTCCTGGTGCTGTCCGCAGAGTAAGCTGTCCACTAGGGTCTGGGGCAGGTGCGCCCTGCCAGAGCTGCACCCAGATCCTGTACAGCCCAGGCTGGCTCGAGTCCAAACTCACCTCGAACCCAGGGGTTAAAGAGCAGGATGAACTGGCCCAGTAGGCGTGGCTTCCTGCCCAAGATATGCAGCAGGAGGGAGTAGCAACCAATGACAGCATCTGAGGGCGTGGTCACAGAGACAGTCCAGGACTGGGCATCTCTCTCCTCCACCATCGCACTCCACTTCTTCTGATCCCCCAGACTGGAAATCGGGAATGTGACTTGGGTCCTGGTAGCCTTGGAAGGCTGCTCTCCTGCAATCACAAACAGATAAATTGGTCGTTTGGACCTCTTGGTCACAACTGAGTAATAGAGTCAAGTATAACAAAGTTGAAGCAGATAAAAAATTAGTTTGGGAGGAGAAAAAGAGGCCCGTCCAATAATGGGAGGCAGTAGGGGGTGATGGGAGTGCATAAGTTCTCAGTGCCCGTGGACCTACATTTAGACATTTCATAGTCTATAAAATGGGCGTGGTAATAATACCTACTTCAGAGTGTCAGTGTGAGGTTTTTGTTTGTTAACTTATTTATTATTTTTGTTAATCCTAACTCAAGGATAATTTTCCACTGATTTTTAGATAGAGTGGAAGGGAGGGTGGGAGAGAGAGAGAAACATCAATCTGAGAGAGACACATTGATTGGTTGCCTCCCACATGACCCCGGCCGGGGCTGGGGATCAAACCTCAACTCAGGTACATGCCCTTAACTGGGAATTGAACCCGAGACCCTTTGGGTCCAGGGGCAATGCACTAACTGCTGAGCCAAACAGGCCAAGGCTCAATGTGAGGTCTTAATGAGATATTTCATGTAATACCCTTGGCCTAATATCTGACATGTCGTACAGATTCAATAAATAGTAACAATTAAATGTGATATTCAGTCTGGATTAGATCCCATTTAGGCTTTTCTACAAAATTGATATTATATTTGCAGCCAAAAGAAACCCCCTCGTGATAATGCTGCCAAGCATTTTCTGAATCATAATAAACAAGACTTATTAGAATAGCACATTATCTTCTCCTCACAACAGCCCTGCTGGGTGGGCAAAACTTCTTGAGGCCCTAGTACCATGTAGGCCATTTGCTCCTTAGTTCCGTGAGCGGGTGATGAGAAAGAACCCTCTAATCCTGCTGCCAAAGGGGTCTAAGCCTGCCCCACTTACCAGTTTGTGCAATGAGAACTACCTTCTTTAGGGCATGCTGAAATGCATGGACTGGAGCCCGGAAGTGCAGCCTGATGGTGAAGGGCTGTCCTCTCCTCACAACCAGGTGCCTGGAGCTGATGTCTTTGGTATGGTGCTCCTCATTGTTTCTTGCTGCCTGGAAGTCACAGCTCTTGATCCCCAGGGCTATGTGGAAAAGACAGAAAACGTGGAGACTAGGTAATTGTGACAAGTAAGTAAAAGCAGAGACCCTGGAGTCAGAGAGATGAGGGTTCAAAACCCCTTGGCTCAACTTACTTACTAGCTGTGCTACCTAAGACAAGTAACTTGACTACTCTGACCCTCAATTTTTTCTTCCTTAGAATGATCACTCTTCCTTCCAGGGTTGTGGAGATTAAATGAAGTCATGTATAGCCCTGGCTGGTTTGGCTCAGCAGTAGAGCATCGGCCCGCGGACCAATGAGTTGAGGGTTTGATTCCAGTCAAGGGCACATACCTTGATTGTGGTTTGTCCCTGGCCCTGGTCAGGGTTGTGCAGGAGGCAACCGTCAATGACACATCATGTTTCTCTCTCTCTCTCTCTTTCTCTCCCTCTCTCCCACTCTATCTGAAGATAAATAGAAAAATATCCTCAGGTTAGGATAAAAAAAAAAATTGAAGTCATGCATATACAGTAGTCCCTGCCTTATCCCAGGGGGATACATGCCAAGACCCTGGTGGATGCCTGAAACTGTGAATACCAAATCCTATACTATATACCAGAGATTTTCAACCTGTGTGCCACAAAAATTTTTAAAACGTTCAATACCTGACTATATAGTCAGGGGCACCAACCTCTTTTCCCTTTGATTGTCAAGTAAAAAAATGACAGCAGCCAACACAAAATAGCCATCCAGTGTGAATGAATCAAAACTATACCTATTTTTTTTTGTCGTTAATCAGCAAAAAATATATTTTTTGGTGTGCCTCAGAATTTTAGTAATTAGTTTGTGTGTCATGAGATAAAAAATGTTTAAAATGCTGCTATATACTATGTTTTTTCTTATATGTACATTCTTATGGTAAAGTTTAATTTATGAATTTGTCACAGCTAGAGATGAACACTAATAATTATTTATAAAATAGGACAACTATAACAATATACTGTAATAAAAGTTATGGGAATGGTTTTGTGGCCATTATTACGTAAAATAGGGGTTACTTGAACACAAGCACTGTGATACCACAAAAGTCTATCTGATAACCTAATTGGCCACTAGGTGACTAAAGGGCGGGTAGCTTAAACAACATGAACACACCAGGCAGAGGGATGATTCACATCCCAGGATTTCATCATGCTACTCAGAACAGCCCGCAACTTAAAACTTATGAATTGTTTACTGCTGGAATTTTCCATTTAATATTTTCAGATCATGGTTGACCCTGGGTAAATGAAACTGAGAAAAGTAAAAACATGGATAAGGGGAACCACTGTAATACACTTAGCACAGGGTCAGACACACAGTCCCATGAAATGAAATGAAACTGTTGTTATTATTGTTGATCCCCTTTTCTGGCCCCAATCCAAAAGCAATGAATACAATCCAGAATCTTGTTCACCTCGACTCACTTTTTCTTTAAATACAATTAGATAGTTTTAAGAGCTGGTTTTGAAATCACTACATCCAATTTTCTTGTTATATAGATGAGAAGAGTGAGGCCCAGAGAGTAGAACCAACTCACCCAAGCTCACACTTGGCTGTTTCACCTAAAGACTCACCAAACCTATGGCACCATGCAGCCCAGAAAAACTCTGCAAGGGTGGTTGGTGGTGCGTGAGAGTATTAAGACAGTCTGTTAGACAGTTCCCATTTATAATGAGACATGTAAATGTACTGCCAGACCTGTGCAGAGGCCCTGAAGTTTCTGCATTCTCTGGGTCTGCCTGTTTTCTTGCTTTATGTTTGCCTTTGCCCCTTTTAGTTGGATTCCCTGACTTCTACCTTCCCTTTTTTTCCATTTAGCCTTCACGCTATGACAACCTCATGCTTTTCCAGGGTCATCTCCCATAAATATCACAACCCAGTTAGAACAGTCATGTTATTCTGATCCTGGGACAAGAATATAAATCCATGTTAAGCATCATCACCATCTTAACACCATCATCACAATTATGACCATGAACTCACCACCACGACCTACCCTGTTGCTACTCCATAGCCCCTCCACCACTACCAGCACCCACTACCACTCCTCACCATAGTCACATCACCATCACCTTCAACACCATCCTACTTCCTTTAATGAAAACACATAATATTGGAGGGGCTACTGACAGTCCAGCAAGCCCCATGGAGAGTTGACTTGGCTCACCCTGTCCCATGGATGCAGGCTGCTCTTATGCACTTGGCCACAGGAAGTGCCTGTCTTGGACAGTTGCTTGGGGCTCCCTCTTTGAATCTGTCTTCCAGACGAAAATGATGGAGGTACTTTTTTTGGCTTAAGAATCTACAAATAGGTTAGTTTCCTTCCACTTCTCTTGTGAGCTCCCTGACAAGTTTCTTCTCTCCTACTCCCTCCTCGCTGGTATCTCTTGAACCAGATGTTGGGAGTTACCATTTTTAATTTTATCTCTTATGCCAGGAAGTCCAGGCAGGAGTATGCCTGGCAGTCTAGAGTGGGGGTGGGGGGTGGGAAAGATCTACCATCTGGAAGAACCCAGAAGAAACCTCTAAGCCTATACTTCAGTGGCCTCAAGAGCCCCTCTGAGATGTTACCTGGACAACACTGAGACTCTAGAAGAAATGACTCCATAAGCAGGAGGCCCACATCCAGCCCCAAATCTCAGGCCCTAAACATGTCATGGGCTGCAAGTTGCTAGATGTTTGTGGGCTGTTTTGATAATACAAAGAGAGAGCATGTATGCCTGGGACTCATCTGTGTGAAAGAGATAAGGAGGTAGAATTTGTTGGTGAAAAATAAATGTCCTGGAAGCAGAAGCCAGAGCTCAAGCTCCTCTAAGCCTGCTGGGTCTGGGACACTCTATCAGAGAGGGTGTGGTACTATCTTGGGACTCAGAGCCTATGTCTTTTCTATTTCTACTAGTCCAGTCACCGAGGAGACAAGACACAGGAGAGGATCTCTTATTTGACTGTCTTTGGCCCCCTAAAGCCTAGCTTTTGGTTGGGCATCTGAGACTGTGTCACCAGAAGCCCTCTCAGAGCAGCTGTACTGGCCTGCATGTATGTGGGATATCTATGCAAGGTTATGAAAGAAATGACAAGGAACATTTGTTGCCTACCTGGGGTATGGGGTCAGAAGATGATTTTTCTGCCCTGCTAGTGTGGCTCAGTGGTTGAGCGTCCACCAATGCACCAAGAGGTTCGATTCCAGATCAGGACACATGCCCAGGTTGTGGGCCCAATACCTAGTGGAGGGGCATGTGGGAGGTGGCCAATTAATGTTCTCTCTCATCAATGTTTCTATCTCCCTCTCCCTCTCTCTCTAACATCAATAAAAAAATTTTAAAAAAGAAGAGATTTTTTTGTTGTTGGCCCTTTTATACTTTTAAAACTTTACACCACTGCCCATTTGAAGAGTATTATAATATTAAAAAATGAAGCTGCTGCCTTCTCACCTCCCCTGCAAAAAGGTTCTTCGTAATAAATAAAGAAGTAAATTTTTCATTATTTGATGATGATATGATTTTTACCTGAAAAACATGTATCTACTAAAAATGATTATAAAGCACAAGGCAGCCTGTGTGGCTCAGTGGTTGAGCATTGACCCATGCACCAAGAGGTCGCCGGTTCGATTCTCAATCAGGGCGCATGCCCAGGTTATAGGCCTGATTCCCTTAGCGGGAACCGAACCTGGGTCTCTCCGGACCGCAGGCCAACGCTCTAACCACTGAGCCAAACCTGCCAGGGCTTTTGTCTATACTTCTGAATCACTTCTAGATATTCTATCATGCAAATAACCAAACACATATAAAATGAAATATATACAAGTATATTCATTGCACTGGTAGTTACAATAGCAAAATATTGAAAACTACCTAAATGTCCATAAATAAGATACTGGACAGATAAATTATGAGACATGCACTCAAAAGAATACAAGTATGACAAAGAATGAAGTAGCTCTATGTAAATTGATACAGAACAATCTCTAAGCTACATTGTTAAATGGAATAAGCAAGCTACAGAAAAGTGTGAAGAATAAGCTACCTTTGTATAGAGGGTGTGTGCGTGTGTGAGAATATATATGAATTTACTTGTGTTTATGTAATATTTCTGGATAGTTACTGCTTCTGAATAGGGAAACTCAGTGCCAAGGAGTAAGGCTTTTGCGTGTGTATATCCTTCTGTATCTATGTGTCATGAGCATATATTATATATTAATATTTTAAGAACAACAAAAACTTGCCCTGGTCGGTTTGGCTCAGCGGTTAGAGCGTTGGCCTGTGGTCCAGAGGGACCTGGGTTCGGTTCCCGCTAAGGGCACGTACCTCAGTTGCAGTATGTCCCTGGCCCTGGTTGGGTCGTGCAGGTGGCAGCCACTCGATGTATCCCTTTCACGTCCATGTTTCTCTCTCCCTCCCTCCCTCCTACTCTATCTGAACAAAATATCAAAAAATGTCCTTGGGTGAGGATAAAAAAAAACCCCAAAAAACTTGGAAGGGAAGAAAAAGGCTGACTGGAAGAACTGTTTTCTCCACTGTGAGATCCCCATGGGAGTGCACTGGGGTGTTCATGGGCTGGCTCCTCCTTTGGAGATTTGTTTGTCTGGTACTAGCAAAGAGAATCTCCTCTTTGCTGATACAGTTCTCATGGAGCTGCACAAAACCCCATGATATAGGAGTATTTCATTTGGGGCACTTTGCGGGGAGCCTATGGTGAGACAGATACTGCTGTGTTTTGGTTGACCTGGGGAACATAATGTGAGGAGGACAGAGAGAGGAGTGACCAAAAAGGTCTGTCCTGCTTCCTACTACACCCACACTTTTTAACTTCCCAGCCTCTGGCAAAAAAAAAAACCCCAACAAATTGTCAGCTGGTATGTACCCAAGAAGAATTCATTTATTCACTGATGACACAAGTATTTATTGAACACTGTGCATCAGGAACTGTGTTAGACACTGATAATACAGTAGTAATTTAGATAAATGTGCCACCAAGGAGCTTATATTTCAGCAGGGGAAACAGACAGTCTGAAGTGCTTACATCATTAATTATTTACTTGCTATAAAAGAGAGGTTTCAAGTTGTAGGACCTAGGTGTGGCGGTCAGGAAAGGCTTCTCTGAGAGAGAGTGATATTTAAGCTGAGAGACTGGAAGGATAAATAAGAGTTAGCTAGGTAATGGGGCACGGGATGGGGTAGGGTGGGAGGAGAGAGAACAGCATTCGCAAAGGCCCTAAGGCAGGGAGCAACTGAAGGAAGGCCATGGAACTGGAGCACAGATTGTGATGGGGAGAGGTAAGGCCAGGGCTTGAGTCAAAGGTGTTTTTTTAAAATCCTCACCCAAGGATATATATATTTTTTCTATTTATCTTCAGATAGAGTGGGAGGAAGAGAGAGAAAAACATTGACATGAGAGGGACACATTAACTGGTTGCCTCCCACACGACCCCAACCGAGGTACGTGCCCTTGACTGGAATCGAACCTGCGACTCATTGGTCTGTGGGCCAGCACTCTAACCACTAAGCCAAACTGGCCAGGGCTTGAGTCAAAGGTTTTGAACTTTTTCCTCAGAGTGCTGGGAAGCTATTGAATGGTATTTTAAGCAAGAGAGTAACACAATCAGATTTGCATTTTAAAAATACCATGCTGAGTAAAATAGGGAAAATTATTTAGTGGGGGGAAAAGTGGAAGAGAGAGGACCAACAAGAGACTAACATCATGGTTCAAGTGAGAGATGATGGTGGCCTAGTCAGAGGAGTTTTGGTAAAGATAGAGGTGGACAGTATTTGACAGAAATGTAGGGTTAAAATGGCAAGACATGCTAATGGAGAGAATATGAAAAGCAAAGAAGAAAAGATATTGAACATGACTACCAGCTCAAATAAATTAATTATGCTGATACATTGCTTTACAAAGTACTTTCATATACATTATCTCATGTGATCTGAACCTCAGCCTTGTAAACTAAGGGATCATTATTTCAATTTAATTGGTGTTTATTTTAATGAATGAATAATGAATACATCAATTAAAACACTGCCAGAAAGAACTTAAGATGACTAACTACATGATGTTTCAGAAGAGCATATATTAAAATGATGCATAAGATAAAAGATGAGTAGAAAGGGAGATAAAATCAACAATGAGGCCAAGAACATACCTATGTATATGCTGTCCACTCACTAGAAATGTATCTATCTCTAAGCTTCCCAGGAGTTGAGGCTTTCCCAACATCTCAAAGGTTATGATAAAAAGACTCAAACTAGGGTCTTCCAGTCCAAATCCCATACATTTGATTTCACATTAGCCTGTAATCTAAACCACCACGGAGGAGGTCTCTGTTCAATCTAAATTTCTAGTTGTAGCAGACTAGCATGATACCATCTCCCCTATTGAGAATTAGAAAAGCTGAATAAATATTTTAAATATCTGAAGGCATCAAGGCAGCAAGGATTGGAGGGATTGAGATCTTGGAGAGAAGAGAAGCCCAGAGAGGTGAGCCTGACAGAATGTCACTTTCCTTTGGGGCATTTGCTGATTCATAATTGACAGATGATAGCCTGAGAGGCTGAGCAGATCTTCTGGCCATCTCATAGGGTTGGAGGATAAAAACTATCCCACCAGGGATAAAGGGCCTCTATAAACACCCCAGCTCTTCAGTGGAACCCTCAAAGGGCTATACCCCAAGGGTAAAGATAAATAAGAAATAGACTAAAACTTATAAAAACTGAAGCATAGTTTTGTTTGTTTTCAGAAACTCAATAAATGGAGCTTTTTATTCCTGTTGACATTGTCATGGATGTTATCATCATTATTATTACTTATCTAATAAAGTTGTAAACATTGGAACAGCATAGAATGATTTAAAAATATTTTCATTGTGATAGAAAATTTATCATCTTAAGCATTTTAATTGTACAGTTCACTAGTGTTGAGTATATTTAAATTGTTGTGAAAGAGATCTCCAGAAACTTTTCATTTTGCAGAACTGAAACTCTATACTCATTAAATACAAGTTCCCTTTGCCTCTTCTCCTCAGCCTCTAGTAACCACCATTCTATATATCTAGTAACATTCTTTCTATATCTACTAATTTGATTAATTTAGACACTTTGTATGAGTATAATCATATAGTATTTATCCTTTTGCGACAGGCTTATTTCACTTAGCATAATGTCCTAAAGGTTCATCCATGTTGTAGAATGTGACAGAATTTCCTTCCCCTTTAAGGCTGCATAGTATTTCATTGTATGTATATACCACATTTTATTATCCATTCATTTGTTGATGGCCATGTGGTTTGCTTCCACCTCTTGGCTATTGTGAATACTTCTATGAACATGGATATGCAAATATCTCTTCAAGACCCTGTTTTCAACACCCCCCCCCAACCAGGGGTTTTATTTAT